CAGGCCATGGCTATCAAACATCAAAAACATCTGCCAGGCTATCCCACCTCCTTTACGTGGATGATCTGAAGCTGTATGGAAAAACACATCTGAAATGGAATTGCTGTCAACACTATCCAAATATACAGCCAAGATATTGCAGTGGAGTTTGGACAGGACAAATGTGCCACCTTTGCCATCAACAGGGGAAAAATAGTGAAAATTGAAGGAATCAAGATGCCGTATGGAAATAACATCAAGAGTCTGGGTGAAGAAGATCACTACAAATACCTGGGCATCCTTCAGGCTGACAACATCAAGCACACTGAAGTAAAGAAGAAGATTAGTAATGAATACATCATGAGAGTAAAGATCTTAAAGTCCAAACTCAGTGACGGAAATACCAGCAAGTCAATTATTATACCAGCAATTCCAATCATTAGATACACAGCTGGAATAGCGGACTGGACTCAAGCAGAACTAGAAGACCTGGATAGGAAGACAAGAAAAATAATGACAATCATACCCTTCATCCATTCAGCGATGTTGACAGACTCCACTTACCAAGGAGTATAGGAGGACGTGGAATGTTACTAGTACACCAGACAGTTGAAGAAGAAATAAGGGTATTGGAAGATTATCTGAAGGACAGTGAAGAAGATGCACTGAAGCTAGTACACCATGAAGGCTTGCTGAATACTGAAGAGACCAAACTGGCCTATAAGAAAGACCAATTATCTGAAGGACAGTGAAGAAGATGCACTGAAGCTAGTACACCATGAAGGCTTGCTGAATACTGAAGAGACCAAACTGGCCTATAAGAAAGACCAAATGAAGAATAGAAAAGAGACCTGGCAAGGCAAAGTATTACATGGCCAGTACACAAAAGAACTAGCAGGTAAAGCAGATAACACCAAGATTTGGCAGTGGCTAAGAGCCGAAAAGTAGAAGAAAGAGACAGATGGGCTAATTCTGGCTGCACAAGACCAAGCCTTAAGAACAGATGCATACAAAACCAGAATTGAGAAGACAGCAACAGACAGCAAATGCGGCCTCTGCAAAGAAGCTGAAGAAACAGTGGACCACCTAGTTAGCTGCTGCAAGAAGATTGCACAGACTGACTACAATCAGCAGCATGACAAAATAACAACAATGGTGCATTGGAACATCTGCAAGAAATACCATTTGCCTGCAAGCAAGAACTGGTGGGACCACAAAAC